TGTCAATTTACGGACGATAAGCAGTTGAACAACGGATATAACTTTGGGATACGCCACGGTCGAATCATCTTCCAAGAGCAGTATTTAGTTGCGTTACAGACGACAGAGAGTGACCACCATACTTCTTCGATCTACATAGCTTAACATTCAAGCAGCCATATGGGTAGCATTAGGAGACGTCACACGTGGGAAATCATATGATGTGAACTCTATAGTCATTATGGCTAATTGAGGCTACACAGGGTGCTTTCCATCGCCTAGCAACTAGTTCACTGACCGCTGAATCTTTCGTATATGGTTAACTGTCTTACAACCTCCACATCTTTAATTTATTCTCCAATTTAAGCACGCGCTTAAATGGCGCTATGCGAAAGTAAAAAAAACGATTGATTTGAATATCCGACTTTGAGAATGAATCAACAACTCGTTCAAATCGCCAACTTAAGACTAGAAAATATAAACTGCCAAAGATGAACTGTTTTTAGAGAAGGGGTAGAGTGTACTAACGTCACACATGCACATACCGGATTCTTGGCAGGATTAAGAAATGCATCCTTGTATTGCTCTAAGAGGCTTTCCAGTTGAATAATTTTCTCATCCTGTCCGTTGCAGAAAATATCGATTACTAGATTCCCAATAGTTTTGTACGTTGCCCACATTTTGTGGCACACACGAACTGGAATAAGTAAGAACAACCAGACCACGAGAATCTAGGCCAGGAGTTTCAAAGTGTGGATTTAACCACCAGCTGGCCTTCAAAGTACTCAACAGCGTTCAGGTCAGCTAGGCTTCAGGAAACCTGGGTTTGAGATCCTAAGTACACAACCTCACGTCGCAGTTCTCAGTCTTCAAAATATAAAATCACACCTTTTGGATATTCAAATCATTACACTTCTATCTAAGAGAAAAAAGAATTCGTCATCTGCATTCAGAACATATTGGACGAATTCTGAGCACCGAAACTGCCGTATCCATCTTCCGGTTTGGTAGAGTTCGTGGCCTCTGAGTCAGGTCTCATCTCGATGGTAATGGTTCTCATTCCTTGGCCCGCAGCCGATAAACTCAAAAGGCTGACAGCTTACAACAGTTCCCCTATGCATCTTTGTCTGGTGCAGAATTCTACTTCTATGAAAAGGAAAGGAGACTGACAACGCATTACAGTTGTGTCAACCCTTCCCGTTTCCAAACTGCTATCATTCCACGAGCTGTATTAATTTTAGCCGAATAGATCAAGTTATTGAAAAACTCTAATAACTGCTAGCTAGATCCCCTGTAAGTTGTTTTTGGAATTTCCTCTAAACAATAGTATATACAGTTATTATTTATTTAAGCCGAGTAGAGGCGGCAAGATACCGAGGGTTCTATATTTTACTAAAAGAAATATATGTGGCAGCTTTCCTCAGGCTTGACTACGATCAGTTGAGATAAAATTTCTGATTTCCATGCATTACCAATGTAAGTGGTAGGATAAAGAAAGGCTACATTACAAGTTTTGCAGGACCTTTCATATTAATATTAATGCTTGGTAGAACTCCGAGTTGATTATTTATAAGTATATTTGAAGGGTTACAGACAGGCGTGTCTCTTGATGACTATATTCATGTA